CTTTCCTTTTTTTCTCTTGTTTTTTTTTCTTTTCTTTTCTTTCTTTTCTCATTTTTCCCTTCTCCTACTTTCCGTTTATCGCTCGATCTTGGAAATCGACCAAAATTGTTGTTTACTCTTCGTCTCCCTTTGTATATTTTCTCTTTCTTCTTTATCTTTATCATTTTCTTTTACTTTTCTCTCCTTGATATTTTTTTTCTTTTCTTCTTCAGTTCCTCGTTCGGTCTCGGGGAATAATGTAAGTAATTTCTTCTCATTCTTTCTCTACTTTTTTTGTCTTTTTCATTCTCTTCTCCCTTTCTCTTTCTTCTTTTACTTCTTTTTTCTTATTCTTGTATAATTTTTCTTTTGTCTTCGTCTTGCTTTTTTTCTTTTTTCTGTTTTCGTCTTTTTTGCTTTTTTTCTTAATTTATCTTTGCGTTTATATCTTCCTATTACTCTTTTTCTGAATTTCTTTTTCCTTTTCATCTGATCCTCTGATGAAAAGGAGGGGTGTGGTGTGTATTTGCGAAGGAGGGTGTGTTTGTGCGTGTGTGTGGTGTTATTTTTATCTGTCTATTTTTCTTCCCCCGTTTTTTCCACCTGCTTTATGTTCCTGTTCATCATACACACTCACACACGCGCGCGTGCGCGTAAACCCTTTACGTCTGCATGTATGTATGTATGTACGTACATATCCATACATACGTACCACGCACTCTGATTATCCAAAAAGAAGAAAAAGAAGAAAAAAGAAAAAGAAAAAGAAAAGAAACAAAGAAAAAACAGAAAATTAAAAATAAAGATAAAAAAATAAAAAGAAGAAGAAAGAAAAAAAAGAAAAAAGAAAGAAAAAACAACTTTCCAGCACAAACTCGGGTGAATTGGCTCATATCCCGGCCTTTGAATGAGACATTGATTAAGCGAAACTGACCCCTATCAAGGTCTCTTTCTCCCTCGCCCTCGGGAACATCTCGCGGGGGAACTGAAACCCGCATCGCCTTCTGAGAGGAGCTTTTGAATGAAAGAGAAAAAGGAAAAAAAGGAAAAATAAGAGAGAGAGAGAGAGAGGAAGAGGGAGGGAGAGAGAGAAAGGTACATGATTTTTGGTTTAACACAAGTGGGAGTGATTCTGGTTCGATATCTCTTGCCCTAGCTCGCTCTAGCTTGACTTGGCTTGAATGTCTCGCTCTGGCTTGCTATAGCTTGCTCTAGCTTAGCTTGGCTTGAATGACTCGTTCTGGTTTGCCCTAGCTTGCTCTAGCTTAGCTTGGCTTAGCTCGCTCTAGCTTGGCTTAGCTTAAATGACTCACTCTGGTTAGCTAGCTTGCTCTAGCTGCTTAAATGAGCCCTGTCTCGCCCTGGCTTGCCTTAGCTTGCTCTAGCTTAGCTTAGTTTAAATGACTCGCTCTGGCTTGCCCTGGCTCGATCTGGTTTGCCCTGACTCGCTCTAGCTTGCCCCGACTGGTTCTGTCGGCACAACGGCGTCGGTTTGCAGTGAGGCGCAGAAGACGGACAAGAAGTCCTTAGAGAGAACGCAACAGGAATATGAGAAGAGGAAGTGCTTGATAAAACATGAGGATGCGATGTATATTACACATCCGCATAGGTGAACTTGTAATCATACAATACACACATACGCATACAACATCCCTTCTCTATCAACCATCATATATATAATGTATACACATACATAAATCCTAATGAATATCTAATGTATAATGTAATACAGTGAAATAACTAAGAATGCTGAGAGAAACACAAGTGCGCGCACAACACACACACACACACACACAACACACACACACACACACACACACACACACACACACACACACACACACACACACACGCACGCACATACACACATACACACACACTCTCTCTCTCTTCTCTCTCCTGACTCTCTCTCTCTCTCTCTCTCTCTCTCTCACTCTCTCTCGTACCCACACACCCCCACACACCCACACACACACGCACACACACACGTAACACAACACCGATCTGTATCACCCTTCCGTATCCTATAATATGTCAAAGTAATATTATCTTCCAAACATATACGGCCGGTTTGGTAAAATTCGGCAAGGTCCAACCCAAGGAACATTCATACTTGTGATCATGCAAATTCACATAAATAAATAGCTGTGTAGACTTTCACATCTATCAGGTACATGGATAAAATATGCGCATATTTCCTTACACAGGTATGTCCATATGTAAGAATAGTTATTGGTTTGGTCTCCCTGTAATAGATAAATATATGCTTATTTCTCTAGACAGACACCTACATGTATAAGAATAGCCATTGGGTCAGGCTTTTAACATGTCTTTTTAACGGGCTTATAATAGGCTTTTAACAGGCTTTTAACATAATTTTAACAGGCTTTTTAACTAGCTTTTTAACGAGCTTTTAACAGGCTTTTTAACAGGCTTTTTAACAGGCTTTTTAACAAGCTTTTTAACTAGTTTTTAACAGGCTGTTAACTAGCTTTTTAACAAGCTTTTAACAGACTTTTAACAAGCTTTACAACCTTTAACAGACTTTTTAACAGGCTTTTTAACAGATTATTTTAACAGGTTTTGAACAGGCTTATCAATTTGAACAAAACGGACGAATAACAGAAGTGTACTTACAAAGTGAAATCCTGGTTCCACTTGGGGCTAAGTGTGTTCTTCTCGAGTCTGGTCCGCTGAGAACCGCCACTGCTGGGAATCACTACAGTAGCGTAGGGGTTCGCTTTGCCTGTGGATTGAAAGGTACTCTCACATCTCAAAATAAATGATGATAATGGTAAATCAATAAACAATTGCAGAAAGGAAATAATAAAGAAAGAAAAAAAAGAGGGCAAAATGAGAATAAACAAATGCAGAGATAAAATATAAAGGGCATAATATATATATATATAATATATATATATATATATATAGATATATATATTATATATATATATATATTTTTTTTTTTTTTTTTTTTTTTTTTTTTTTTTTTTTTTGCTGTTCTACAGATTTTTTGAGATAGGAAGATCAAATTAAACAAAAAATTCCTTTATCATTGTCCATTTGCTTGTTTAACTTAGTAAAGACGGAAAAATGATTACATCATAAAGCAAAAATGATACAGTACGAAAGAGTAAAAGAAAACTGTATAATTACTGTGCATTTGGCTGCATAACTATACGATGACGAACGTGTTTAATTCATAACATATGGACAATATACAAGAAAGAGAGATAGACAGATGATATATATATAATATATAATATATATTATAGATATATATATTATATAGAGAGAGAGAGAGAGAATGAAGAGAGAGAGAGAGAGAGAGAGAGAGAGAGAGAGAGAGAGAGAGAGGAGAGAAGAAGAGAGAGAGAGAGAAGAGAGAAAAGAGAGAGGGAGAGAGAAAAGAGAAAGAGAGGAGAGAAGAGAGAGAGAGAGAGAGAGAGAGAGAGAGAGAGAGAGAGAGAGAGAGAGAGAGAGAGGAGAGAGAGAGGAGAGAGAGAGAGAGAGAGAGAGAGAGAGAGACAGACAGACAGACAAAGACGGAGAAAATGATAATAAAAAAAACAAGGTCTAGACAAAGCCTTGTTCCTCGAAAATTCCACATGACAAAATGAGCCATAAGTAGTAGTGACGTAAGATCTGGCAGACAAGAACGAAAAGTCATAGAATTATCTTTCGTTTTTGTATGAATGTTGCACATACATCTAGACTAATCCTTGAACCACTTGAGCTAAGTGCGAGCGTCTTAGCATAATCTTGAGAAATCACGGGCTTTCCTTGCAATAACCTGTGGCCTTGCAATAACCTTTCTTTCCTTATTTTTTTTCAGATAAAAAAATCCCGGAAGCTTACGATATAATAAAATTTCATGATTTTATAATTAGTAATAAGATGGTGTGTATTTTTTTTCAATAAAACCAAATGTGGAATTTTCAAAGAACAGTATCATTCGACCTTTTTTTCAAATACTGAAAGTGAAAGAGAGAGAGAGGAGAGAGAGGAGGAGAGGAGAAGAGAGAGAAGAGAAGAAGAGAGAGAGAGGGGGGAAGGAGAGAAGAGAGAGAAGAGAGAGAAGAGAGAAGAGAGAGAAGAGAAGAAGAGAGGAAGAGAAGAAGAGAGAGAAGAGAAGAGAAGAGAAGAGAAGAGAAGAGAAGAGAAGAGAGAGAGAGAGAGAGAGAGAGAAGAAGAGAGAAGAGAGAGAGAGAGAGAGAGAGAGAGAGAGAGAGAGAGAGAGAGAGAGAGAGAGAGAGAGAGAGAGAGAGAGAGAGAGAGAGAGAGAGAGAGAGAGAAGAGAGAAGAGAGGAGAAGAAGAGAGAGAGAGAACAGAAAGAAGACAGAGACAGACAAACAGAGAGATAGGGACTGAGTTAAATACCTTTCACAGTCTTCGGCCGCAGATCCTTGGCCTCCCTAACACTCAAGTGGAGTATAACCTCAGGAACCTGGTGTTGAAGGACAAACAAACACTTGAGTAAATCATATATATAGCATTTGTGTACGCGGGCTTATCCGTCTGTTCCAGGTGCATGTGCGTATGTGCGTTTGTGAGAGCGTGCGTGTTTGTGTTTGTTTTTTTGGTTTTTTCTAGGGTGTTGTGTGATAGGGTTTGTTTTTTGTGTTTGTCTGTGTTTGTTTGATTGTGTTTATGTGGTGTGTGCCTGCGTGTGTGGTTTGTTGTGTGTATTGAAATGATAAATAATAATAATAATGATTATGCTGATAATGTTAATCATCATAGTAATAATAATAACATTAAAAATATCAATGATAATAACAATGTCAATAATAATAATAATAATAGTAATAACATCAATTATAAAATTGTAATGATAATAATGATAATGATGATACCGATAACAATAATGATTATAATAAGAATAAATCAAAACGTAAGAAAAGAAAAAACAACAAGAACAAAAAATAATAATAATAATAAATAAAAAATAAAAAAAATAAAAAATAAAAAATACACACCGGTCTCGTCTTGATCTGCTGGGTGATGTCCTCCAAGGTGGCGGCGCCGACGTGGAAAGCCTCCTGCAGGACCTGTGTCACCTGCGCTAGGGACACGCTGATCCGGTTGGAGGACCCGGGCACCGTCTGGCCTCCCGCAGACGCCGCCGCAGCCACCGTGAACCTGACCGCCCATACGCCGCCCCCTGGACCGCCCATGAGGGAGTGGACGGAGTAGAGGACATCACAGGTCTGTCTGAGAGGATAAGACGCTGAGTTTGAATGGGATTCACAAGCGTAAGTATTGAAATACCGGAGAAGCACAGCGAAATATACTGAAATATATGCTAACACTTGTAGTAGCGGAGAAACACAGCAAAGTATGCTGAAGTATATACTAACATTTGTAACTGCGGGGAAAACACAGTCAAGTGTACTGAAATATATACTAACATGTGTGGATGTATGTAAAACATTCGGTCAGGTATATTTAGGATGATTTATATACTTATCTGTGAGTAATTATGGCAGAAATTATGATAATGATGAAAATAAGTAATTATCCCCTTTCGTTTTTTTTTTCTAACGACAATTAAACCGATTGACAAATTATCTACTCTAACATATCAATCAATCTATCTATGTCTATATTTTTTCTTCTTCTCTCTTTTTTCTTCACTTTTTCCGTATCTTCTTCTTCTTCCTCCTTTCTTCCTCTTCTTCTTTGCTTCTTCTTCTCTTTCTTCCTCTTCTTGTTTGCTTCCTCTCTTTGCTTTCTTCTCCTTCTTCCTCTTCTTCTTTGTTTCTTCTTCTCTTTCTTACTCTTCTTCGTTTTCGTCTTCTGCTTCTCCTTATTCCTCTTCGTCTTTGCTTCTTCTTTTCCTTCCTCCTCCTCCTTCTTTGCTTTTCCTCTTCTTCTTTATCTCCTTTCTTCTTTTCGTCTTCTGCTTCTCCTTCCTCTTCTTCTTTGCTTTTCTTCTCTTTCTTCCTCTCTTCTCTTTGCTTCCTCTTCTCCTTCTTCCTCCTCTCTCTTTTTCTTCTTCTTCTTCTTTGCTTCTTTCCTTCTTCCTTCTTCGTTTTCATCTGTTCTCCTTCTCCTTCTTCTTCTTTTCCTTTTTTTTTTTTTTTTTTTTGCACAAGAATCTGCCCAAAAACCGCATCCTCTTCTGGCGCAAACCAACAGAAGCTTTGACAGGAGTAAGCAGAGCTTCCGTTGTCTCAGAAAAAAAAAATAGACGTCAGCACACGGGAAAGGCTTGATCAGGAGCAACTCGAGGAGGTGTCATGGCGTCTGTTTTCTTGATTGTTCCATGAAAATATAACCATTAAAATAATTATTCTCATTCATCATTATTATTATTATTATAAATCATTATACATATTCACAAGAATCCGTAACTCTGTGACTGTATCAAACATTAGTTTTTTTTTTTTTTTTTTTTTTTTTTATAATACAGACGCCATGACACCTCCTCGAGTTGCTACTGATCTAACCTTCCCCGTCCAACATGAACCCCCTAAACAAAAAAAAAAAAAAAATAATTAATAAAAAAAAATAAAACGGATATATTCTCTCCAAAAGTTGACTGGCACTTTAGCATCGCGGATAAACATCCGGTTAAGAAACATTTTTTTTTCATTCAACGTTGAGAATGTAACCTTTAAGTATGGAGAAAGCGTTATTCCCGTATCCCTTTCTTTCTAGCTGTCAAACGTCGACCAGAACGTTTTGGAGGAATGGGATGACGTAAGCAAATGCATAAACATGTGTAGTCGATGTTGCTTGGTTAGATAATTTTTATTTTTTCTCATGACTACACCACCGAAAAGAAAGAGAGAGAGAGAGAGAGAGAGAGAGAAGAGAATGAGAGAGACGAGAAGAGAGAGAGAGAGAGAGAGAGAGAGATAGATGAGAGAGAGAGAGAGAGATATGAAGAGAGAGAGTACGGAGAGAGAGAGAGAAGAACACGAGAGAACCAGAGATAGAAAGATAAATAGATAGATAGATAGATAGATAGAGATTTGCAAAATATACAAGGTAACATATTCGTGCTCAAATTGTAAAAAAAAAAAAAAAAAAAAATGAGCAGAAAATTTGGCAGTATACAGCAGAAGCTTGTTATAAAAACAACAACATAGTTTATTGTATAACAGACGCTTAAGTTGCAATGACAATAAATAATAATATAAATAATATAAAATAATAAAACAAATGATTAATGACAATATAATCTATAGTATAATAATATAATAATAATAATAAAACAAACAACGTATTTATGCAAACAGATCTTAAAACAGAAACAAATGAACAGAAATTTGGCCAACTCTACTCGTGCAACAGATCTGTGCTTGTGATCGTATCTACACTACAGACGGCAATGCAGTGCCACTAGAAGCTTCCCAACTTCCTTTTTTTTCTTAAATCACGTAATTTCTTTTGTAGAAATGCGAAAATATCAATACATCAATTTTATTCAGATTTTGTAGAAATGGAAGAAAATGGGAATAAAATAATGTTTTTTTTTTCAAATCTTTATGAAATGTGGAAAATTTCAGTAT